GGTCCCACGAAGCGCAGCCGCATTTTCGTAAGATCCCCCCTCCCCCCCCGTTACCCGTGCAATCAATCTGTTCCATCTATCCTTTCTTTTTTCCCCGCTAAGTAAACGGACGCCCTGGAACGGCACGTTCCCAGACTACCGTCTCGACTACTACGCAGAGACGCAACGGCGCCACCGAGACGCACTCCTTCGATCGGATTCCTAGCCTCCACTTACGTTGCAGGAATTCCTATCTCCTTTGCGTCCTCCTCCGTTGCAGTTTCCTCCATCCCCTTATTCGAGGAACGACTCGGCTCTGAAATTCGCTGGCCGGCCAGCGAGCCCTAGAAAATGCATGGCTGGCTTAATTGCCATTTCAGACCGAATTCATCCACGAATCCATTCGTTCGGCTACCTAATCGGACAAAGATTTCCCTTCTTCCTTTCCTTTTTGCGCCTGTTCTTTTTTTCTTTTTTCGGCTATTTCAACCAACTATTCGAGGGGGAGCTATAGCGTTTCTTGGGTTTTTAGGGGTGGATGGTGAAAGAGATATTATTCGAGATAACGTTATAGCCTTGTTTGTTGATTTAGGGTGTTTGATGTTCGATTTCTTCAGGTTTTTTCGAGATGTAATTTGTATAGATGTAATTTGATGTTGTTTAATTAGAAAATTATAAAATAATTATAAAATTATGAAAGAATTAGGATAATGAGTGTATTGTTTATTGTTACTATACATGTCAATGAAATATAATTGGTATTTAAAAAAAAAGAAAGAATAAAATTTGAAATTAATAAAAATTATATTAAATTATTTGGAAAATTTCATTCTAATCTAATAATTTATCGGATGCTGTAATATTATCTGTAATATCTCGCTTGATTCTGGAAATATTAAAAAATTTTTTAGACAAAAGTCAAATGGTTTCAAAAGGACTATAATATTATGTAATTATTTTTTTTCTTGAAGAATGCATAAAGGTTATATGAAGATCAATATAGTTTTTTTAATAAGTTTGTATACTTTTCAATGCATAAGTAGATGCAGCATATGAGTCTCTATAAAAAATTATTAAGCTATATATATTAAAAAGCTATTAGTTTCGAAGATATTTAATTAAAATTAAATATTTCGTAAATTAATAATTATTCGTCGTATATATTTTAATAATTTTTTATAGAGAATTTCGAAATACATCTATTTATGCATTAAAAACTATATGATTCTATTTAAAAAAGTAAAGTTGATCTTTATAAATCTGTCATGCTTCCACATAAGAAAAAATTAATAATATTAAAATATAGCCCTCTTGAAATCATTCAACTTTTATCTCAAACATTTTTTAATATTATGAAGAATAAATGAGATATTCCACATATTTACATGAGACACCCGGTATATATAGAATTCTTAAAAAATAAAAAATATTCAAACGCATTCATCATTACAAAAAGATGTCATTCATCATAAATGGTAAGTATAAAAAAGGTAAGTATATTAGTATTAAGAAAACTGTTGAAAAAACGATTTAAAAAAAAAAAAAGAAGCAGCTTTAGGTAAGTATTAGGTAAGTATTAGGTAAGTATTTTTAGTTTAGCTAAGTATAAAAAATTTTATAAAAAATTCTAATTTTTAAAATTTTCAGAATAATTTCGCGTGCCATCTTCTATCCAGTCATATTCTCCTGATACAAAATCGAAATTTTGGCAAAATTTCTCCCTCAGAATTCTCGGAAAAATTTCGCGTGCTACCTCCTATCTAGTCATATTCTCCTGATACAAAATCGAAATTTTGGCAAAATTTCTCCCTTAGAATTCCACGAAAAATTTCGCGTGCCACCTCCTATCCAATTATATTCTCCTAATACAAAATCGAAATTTTGGCAAAATTTCTCCCTTAGAATTCCACGAAAAATTTCGCGTGCCACCTCCTATCCAATTATATTCTCCTAATACAAAATCGAAATTTTGGCAAAATTTCTCTCTCAGAGTTCTCGGAAAAATTTCGCGGGCCATCTCCTATCCAGTCATATTCTCCTAATACAAAATCGAAATTTTGGCAAAATTTTAGCGTCAAAATTCCCGGAAAAATTTCGCGTGCTACCTCCTACCCAATCATATTCTCCTAATACAAAATCGAAAATTTGGCAAAATTTTTCCCTTAGAATTCCCCAAAAAATTTCACGTGCCACCTCCTACCCAATCATATTCTCCTAATACAAAATCGAAATTTTGGCAAAATTTCTCTCTCAGAATTCTCGGAAAAATTTCGCGTGCTACCTCCTATCTAGTTATATTCTCCTGATACAAAATCGAAATTTTGGCAAAATTTCTCCCTTAGAATTCCACGAAAAATTTCGCGTGCCACCTCCTATCCAATCATATTCTCCTAATACAAAATCGAAATGTTGGCAAAAGTTTAGCGTCAAAATTCCCGGAAAAATTTCGCGTGCCACCTCCTACCCAATCATATTCTCCTAATACAAAATCGAAATTTTGGCAAAATTTCTCTCTCAGAATTCTCGGAAAAATTTCGCGTGCTACCTCCTATCTAGTT